CTGCTCTTGATTCACTCTCTCATCGCACCAATCTTTGACCTAACATTAAAATACTTTTACAATTATTCGCCACGTTACCAGTTACTTCTTTCACTCCGCAAAGAACGTTTTCAGCACTTAATCGCTTAAAAATTTTTTTAAGAAGCACCATGTCGGAAAACAGACTGAATGGGTTAGCTATGGCTTACATAAATAAAAAAAGAGCAATTCGATGAAAGTGAAATATTAACTGAAATTGCCAGAAATTCGCCTAAGAGGATGTAGCTGTCAGAGTGGAGCAAGGGACTGAACACTAAAACCAAAATTATTATTATTATTATAAATTATATATTAATAAATATTTTTAAAACTATACTAAAATGCTTGAATTAAGTTTAGAAACTTGGTGGTAGATGGTGGGGGGTTAAGGGTGAATTCTCATATCCTCTCTTACCTTACTTATCCAAAAAAGTGGTTAGCCCCCCCATTTAAAAATCCTGGCTACGCCACTGTTGATACAGAGTCCAATATTTGTTGTATTAGACAAACGTTTGTTCCTCCTGAAAATAAAATAATTAAAGAAAACCACTCTATCAGACCTAAACAATAATCCATTAACTGTCTATGGCTCTACAGTAATTAAACTGAATCGATTCTCATAATTTTGAAACATCAGTATTTATTGTCAAAAATTTAACATGTCATATATTAATAGAAAATAATTTTTTACAGAGCAATAAGAAGGATATTATAAATTTTCATAATAATACTTTATCTTTGAACGACTCAATCACAATACAAACTTATAACCATATAACCAATATATGTAATATAAATATTAATAATATTAAAAAGGAAATAGCTGACATATTTCTTGCAGACTCTGACTACTCGATTGCTCATTGTATATCTACAGATTTAAAAATGTCAAAAGGAATAGCCTCTCAAATAAAAATGATATTTGGAAACCCTACGCCTCAACTTAAAAAATTAAAACCACAAATTGGCGACGCAATTCCAATAAAAATAGGAAATAAAATAATTTATCACCTAATAACAAAACAAAAATATTTTCATAAACCTAAATATGATGACATAAAGCTTACTATTCAAAACTTAAAAAAATCAATGCGAAAATTACATGATTTCAAAATTGCTATCCCTACGATTGCCTCAGGCATAGACAAAAGTAATTGGACAATTATTAAACAACATATTTTTAAAGAATTTCTAAACACAAATATCAATCTTCTCATTTGCCACAAAGACAAAACACACATAACTAATAATTGGAAACCTTAAGAAAATCATAAAGTTATAAATCTAACACATGACTATTACCATTTTCATAAAATAATTAAAAATTTAAATAACGTTAACAACAATTTTAATGATAAAACAAAATCACCCATTTACAATCTCAAAAACGATAAAAGTAATAAAAACGATATGAGTAACACGAGTAAATTAAAAACAATTAATAACAATTATAATATGGACATTAACATAAAAGATAATAATAAAATAAAATCAATTTTTAAAAAAATTATAAACCCGGAGAATATGTAATAGGAGATTGAAATTGTGGCATTTACGCCGTATGTAATGCTCTTAATGATAACAAATTAAACAATACTTATATTGCCGATATCTTACAAATATTAAACATTACACAGCTGCCCAATTATTGGATGTCTGATGACGAATTAGCCGCAATTGCTGATTATCATAATCACAACACTAATAAAACAGCAATCATCTATCAAAAGAAAAATTATAATAATAGGCCCATAATCATTTTATATAATATTAATAAAAACCCGTAATGGATCCCCGGAACAAGAACAGATAAACCATCAAACAAAATACCGTCTAATTATATTATTATTAATAATTTACTGCGTTAAACCATACCACTCAACAGGGGCGCCATTTAGAGGGTAACAGGTTATACTTTGGCTCCCCTATTTATTTCTGTGTCTTATTGGCCTGGATTAAAATTTACAATGCGCCGACGGCGTACAGGCCTATGACCTTATGCGTAAACATTAAAATACATTGTAAAAATAAAATATAATATTATTATGCAGGTAAATACATAATATTTATTATTTTTAGTTTTTTATTAGATTATAGCTTGCATTATGCGTCTATGCATAATCATTGATCAAAGCTATTTCCAACTTTTCGGATTATGTTTTTATCGTTGTCCGTTGATACGTATAAATGCGGAATAATAATAATATATAGTATAAATATAGGTTTATATAAAAATATAATAGTTGTTGTTACAAACGGTTATACGTTTTAACAATAATAATATTATCTAACTACGTCTGTCAACCGATTACCAGAAAAAACATTCTTAAATAGCTCAAAAATGAAATGTAAGGTTATATTGATTCTAATAAATTGAAGTTTTCATAATATGTTTACGTAATTTACGTAAAGACGTTTAGTGTTGTAAATTTTCAAATTTCAATGCAAAAATATGTTTTTACTAGTAGTTACAAACTAATAACAATTATTAAGGCAAATAAATTATTAATGAATAATTTGAATTCATTAAAATATAACCTTTAAGAGTTAAACCCCATACAAGCGACTTACACACAAACGATATCTGTATTTACTATTTTTTTTTTTAAAGTGGCCTGACGAAAAAAATTGGCCTTCTTAAATTTTGGAATCCCTATTAAAAAATTTAAATGTCGCCACTGCCACTCAAGAGAAAATATTGACAAGTAACCAACATTAACACAAAATAATAATCATTAATAAATATATTGTATTAATTATATTATTATAATAAATCTATAATATATAAATTATAAGATAATAAATGGTATTAAAATAAATTAATAACCATTTACTCAAATTATTATAGTAAAAAAAATATATATATTACATAATGTAATAACATATATTTTCTATTATACACAATTCATACACTTTCTAATTCAAAACACTCTATTTTTAATATCACCTTAATTATGTTAATATTAAGTTCATAAATTACTCATACATAAAAAAAAGGATAAATAATTAAATTAAAAATTAAAAAAAAAAACCTACGATTTTATAAAATAACATAAAATATATTGGGATCTACTATGTATTATTATTAAAACTATTTATATTACCTATATAATATTATGTATATTTTGAGCAACCATTGTATCATACTTTATATATTTATAAGTTGTAAGACAAAAACATTGTATTCAACAATCAACAAAATCACAAAGATCTTCACTCTTCTACTCAACATGTTGCAACTATACATGACACATGGGTTTTTTTGCATATGACTGTAAAACCAAAAATTCAACAGCCTATATGTGAAACCGTGCGAACCACCATCAGAAATTAACAAACAACTAATTAAAAAAAAAAAAAAAATTCAACTCCTAGTTATAATAAAAAGATACATATCTAATTTATTATAAACCATGCTTAATAATAATAAACTATTTAATAAGTAGAAGTTCACTTTTAGAAGACGCTAAAATGATAGATAATAAGTTCTTCACAGAAATAATTGAATTAGGCAGTGCTTGGTGCTCTGAACTACACCAAAAACTAATATACCACCTACCAAACGCAACCAACCGGTTCAGCTTTAGAATTATCGAACCAATACGGTTTAGATATTTATTGAGAATAAGTAGTAGGGGGCGCAAGACAAGAACAAAAACAACAAAATCAACAACGATGGATTTTAAATCAAAGGCACAATTAAATGATATATAAATATCATTGTAATTTTTTTTCATTTTAATTTATGTTATTTCTTAAATATGTCTTCAAACTCAAAAACTTCACTTACATTATCAATATTATATATATCCAAATTTTTTTAAATTCTTATTGTATAATGTTTATATTTTATATTTTAGATTTATGTATTGTATTCACCTTTTGATACGAGGACACATCACAAAAATGCTAGGGTGGATGTAATGATATGCGCCTAAGCATTCATATATTTTTATAAAATTTAATGTATAATTAAATAATTATAATATTCGATAGCCATTAAATGTAATAATAAGTCATAAGTATTAAAGATAAGATATTACACACACACGTATACACATACACGCGCGCGAACACACACACACACACACACACACATCATATATAAGGAGTATAGTTTTTATAGTTACACCAGAAAGACGCATTCTTGTTGTCCTTTTGTATAGACGGTCAAAGGCGATTGTAAAAGACTAAGCAGAGAGACATAATTAGTTGTAAAAAGTTCTGTAAAAATTTAAAATACGTGTATTAATGTGTGTAAAAAGAAGTTTAAATAAAATTATTAAACGTGGGTAAAAAAAAATTATTAATATTTTAAAGTACGAATTGGTTACCTTATCTCGTTCCTCAAACATCAACTGCGGTTTTCAACAGGCAGGTCGGCACAATCACCGGCGAGGTAATATTAAATATTTATAATATAATAAGTAATAATTTAAAAAAACATATAAGTACTTCACACATAAATTAATATATAAAACTATAATTTATAGATCATTACATTTTAAATAAAACCCCTTTAATGTATAGAAGGTGATGGGCAAATAATAAAAACAAATGCTGTTAAACTGCTGAACAGCATTTACAGGTGGTGAGGTGTTGCCGAATTTTTATATATAAAAAAAAATAGATAAATATATTGAAAATGAGAAGTAATAGGAACAAGAAATAACTTGTAATAACTAATAATACTGAATTTAAGGGTTCAGGATATACATTCAAAATGTTTACTGTTGATATAGATATTATTGTATAAATTATCAGCCAAATCTAAGATCTGTATTTACAAATCATGTTGATTACCTCTTTTATATATAAGTAAAATCTTATTCGAGTACACTTTTATTTCTAAATAAAATTGAACAGAAAACTTTTATAGTTAACATGAAATTCCATTATCGATTCTTAATTATTAAATATGCCAAATTAGGATTACTTAAAGAACTTAACATAATATAAATTTATGATAGAAATACAAATGCTTAAGATATACACAGTTTATTTATACTTAAACAAAAATGTTAAACAAGTCTTTTATGAGCAACACAATGTGGTTGCAGTTTTAAATAATTAAAAATGTAGTCTCAAAAACACTAATGTTCTCAACAAAAATAAAACATATTATACATATTTATACATTTTACATAAACTTTGGGTGTTGACTTGTTATTTCCTAGTTACTAAGTATACATTTGAAAAAAAACATAATATAAACAAAATATTATAATGAAGTAAATAAAATAAATAACAAAGATTGTTTATTGTAAATGTTTTCCTAGTAAAAAATAATTTATAATGTGCCATTCAAAAATAACACCGCATTTAGAACATTAATAATTTAATTAAAAAAACAACATCAATGAAACTAACACTTCTTCCCATTTATGAATGAAAAACAATATCCGACAAATGAGCACCCCTATTGTGTCTGCATGCATGGACTTTACTGAAGGAGTACACACATGCAGACACAGTAGAGGTGTTCATTTGTCAGATATGGTTTTTTATTCTTAAATGGGAAAAAATACTGATTTTAGTATGAATTTTTTACTCAATTTATTGTTTTTTATTCAAGTTATTAACATTTTAAATCCTGCATTAATAATATTAATGGCACACATAAACTAAATATAAACTGAATAGAAACATCATTGTTCATTTGAAGTCAACAATAGCAATTTAGTAATATTAAATTAATTTTATTTACACAGTCTTGGGCAAAAATATAATAAATTTTATTAAGCAACATTAATAATGTTTAATATTTGACTAATTCAGCATTCCAGCAATGTTAAAGCTGAAAGGAAGAATGATATATAATATAACGCTGAATTTGTAAAATATTAAACATGATTAATGTTGCTTTCCAAAGTTTCACTATCTTCTAGTTTCCTCAGAGTCTTCATAACTCTCAATGCTGGCAATCTTACATTTGGATTTTGATGCCAACACTCTTGTATAAGTTCAGAAATCACTCTCAATCTCTGAAATACAAATATTTTAAATTAAACAAGGAAAAAAATAAACATTTTCTTTTATACTTACATTATCACATTTCCATCTCATAGGGATATCTGGTCTTGCTCTTTGTACCATCAATACTAAACGCATGTCTTCTACTGAAGGATCAGAACCAACCAGGTTAGCGTAAGGTAACATATATTCATCTGCTTGAAGCATAGGTGACCCACCAACTGGCCAACTTTGTCTGCTTCTCCTAAAAATTATAAATTGTTGCATTTTATTTATACGAACTAAATAAAATAATTTAAATTCAATATGCTAAAATTATAGAATACGTGCCTGCATAACTCCCAGAATACCAAACTTGTAGAATACATATCTGCAGCTTTAAAAGCACTAAATGAAGTTACATCAATTGTATCATTGACTACTTCAGGAGCCATATACCGTCTTGTACCAACTCTTGAGTTAGGAGCAATATCAATTTCATTTCTTCTACTGAAATTATATCAGTTAATTAATGATTATTAATAAAATAAATAAGTTACATAGTTTAAAATATATCATATATTTAAGACTTGTTACCTATCATATCGGACAGCTAAAGCAAAATCAGCAATACAACATTCTCCATCAGTCTTAACCAAAATGTTTCTTGATTTAATATCTCTGTGAGCAATACAAGGCTTGCCATGAGTACCATTGATTGGCTCATGTAAATGTGCTAAGCCACTAGCAATTGAACGTGCCATAATGACAAGCTGAGCGGTATCAATAGTGTTCTCTTTTAAAAAATCATGTAAAGAACCACGTTTATGATATTCTGTGATCAACATCATCTGAGCACCTCCAGCGCTTACTTTTAAATCAGCCGCAATGAAACCTAATTTTATTTTTACATAACATGATTAATCAAAACGTAAAATAAATTATAAACTGTTTTGATATTTACCTAAGATATTCTCATGTCTAAGCAAAACAGTTTGGTAGATTTCTGTTTCACGAAGCCAACTTTGATCATTAATGGTGGTAAAAATTTTTACAGCCACGTGTTCACCTCTCCAGTTAGCTAAACAAACTTTACCAAATCTTCCCTCTCCAATTTGACGTTCAATTCGTATTTGCTTAGCAATTGTTCTTTGAACCTAAATTATAATAAGAATTTAAATATTAAATAGTTTCAGTGTTATGGGTATTATCATTCTTACGAGTAGTGGTATCCCAGAACCAGAACCAGATGAATGACCAATTAACGTTTGCAGTAAGTTACTGTTGCCAGATATATAACTATCAGTAGACGGTAAAGCATGTAGGCGATTCTTTTCCCTTCTCCTGTACCTCAAATATACCCAGCACATGATAATGACAGATACTAGGAGACAAGTAATCATTGACAGCATAAATGCTATGTAAGGTACAGAGTTTATATGAACTTTAGGTGGTACAGTGGTTGTAGTATGGGGTATGTACATAGGTGTTATGTCTTTATTACACATATCTGTGCTGCAACATTGAATGCCTCGACCATACAAGGAGTTTCCGCCTTTGCACTATAACAATTTCAAAATTAAATTATTAAAATTATTCCAATCATAATAGTAAACAAAGCAAATCAAATTTATATAATAAAAGAAAAAATAGAGAAATAATCATTAATGTATAGTGATTTTTAAAATGATTTACTTGTAAGAAGCCTTGTTCACCAGCTGCAAGACATCCATAAGATACTATTCGATCATATTCACCAGTATCTTCATTTAATTCTTCTTGAACAGCACTAAAACATTGTGAATAGCGGGAAGTTGTACACGTTCCATTTGGTTGGCCATTTGGACACTGGTGTTCACAATAACACGTTAATCCATGGTCTGAAAATAAAATAATAGTAATTTTTTATTATTACAATGAAAATAAATAATAAGATTTTGAAATTTTTAGTTTTGCAAATATTTTTAAATAATATAATTATTATCATTACAAATTCATAATTCATTTATTGTCACATTTTTGTGATAGAAAAGGTTACAGGTGCAATTAACAATTCAAATAGTTATCAATAATTGTGTTAACAAATAAATATATTATGAGACGATCAAAAAACAGCCGATTTATGTTGTTATAGTGTCGACGTCAATAAATTCAAGACAAAGACTAATAAAAACCGGCAGCCTAGATATTTTCATTAAAATTCATCTGGATTCTCATTTTATATCGCAGTGGTTTCCTAACTTTTTTTTGCGCCGTGCCTTTTTTTGGACCAATTTAGCCACGGTGCTCTGCTATAAATAATGTGAAAGATAGAACAAAACAAAAATACTCACCGATAAACAATTTTATTACTATTATTAAAATTTAGCTAAATTATAAATTAATGGATTTTTTAAATTTAAAAAATAAACAAATAAAAATTAATGTTATTATGATCATAATTATTACATAAAAATATTATAATGTTAAAATGAGAATGTCCGAATATACGATAGAAAATATTACATTATTTGCAATAACATTTATACCAGAATAATAAGGAAAAAATATTCTATACATTTTAAACTATTTGTTATGATCCGTAGGCCACGGTGCACGGTTTAGGAACCGCTGCTATATCATATGTAAAATACATTTATTTTTTTTGTTTTCATTATCCTCACTAAAATTATTTTTAAAAAATTAAAAAAAACAATAATATACACAAAATTCGTTATAATAATTCAAATACATTAAAGTTGTTCATCATTAATTAAAAAATTACAAATTATTTTTGTAATTAAATAATTGAATTATTATGTAAATAACAGTGACACATAAGTGTACTAACAAAATGATAAGATTAAACTTAATCAGTTACTTATTTTAATTCGATTCTTTTATAGAATACGTAAAATAACAAATCTTGGAATTCATATTTAAAAATATCTGAAGACCATGACATAAAAATAATTTCTATTCAAATATCATATTTATTTATGAAACTAAAGATTATACGAACTAACGAACGATGAGAAATCATTTTTGGTATGGATTATAATATTCTATTCAAATCCATCCCCCCCTATAAAAATAATAATAAAAAAACACCTGTTGGTTAGCCTTATAAATATTAAACGCATCATAAAAGAAGGTACAAGGAGAGCTCAGGTAAAATCGGACACAAAGAGCAGTTGCCTAACGACGGCGAAGGTACTATATACAAAAATTCAAAATGGATACGTAGATTTTAAATATGTTTGGGTCAATCCAACTAACCCCTTTTACATAAAAACGTTGAACAATAATAAAAACCTGACCCGTCTACATACACAGACTGTAAGAGAAGCGATTTCAAATCTCACACCGCTATGCCACGAAATATTACAACAACAATTCAACTAAATCTGTCACACCTAAAAAAACCCATTTAAAAACTCATGTCAGAAAAATATGAATACGTGTTATTCAAATGAATATTTTATACGGTAATTTACATAATTTATGATTTATGTGCCAGTGGGCGGCATAATGGTGTTGCCAAGACATTTAATTATTAATCGGTTATAAATCGCGCAAAGGAGAAAGAGACTTGAATGCCCGCATTGTTACTCTTATAATTTACACGTGGGAGTCACTAGCCGAATGATGCGAGAGAGCAGGTAATTTTTTTCTTATACATCCGAAGACTAATTAAAACTGATGGATTTTTTGTTACCTGCCGTTTACGATTTTATTGCTTTAAGGGTTCCAGTAAAAAAATAATTTTGGGTGTGTCTACAAAACCCACTGGGTTTTGAAAGAAAATGATAGGCTGCAGGCTCGTATGATTTTTCCATTTTAATATATAGGACTAAATATACGGGTTTTAAATGTAATTTAAGTACATATCGCTTCCTCATAATAACGGGTACACGCATCATTCGTGATTATGAGCAAAAAAGTTTAACCTAATTATTATTTGCCGTGATTGACTCACTTTACGAAAATAAATATAATGCTAGTGTAATGATAATATTATAAATGGTACTATTAAGTTAAGTAACAACTATAACTGTTATCCGTCTTCAAGTGACACACACCATAGAAATACCTTTAATTATTTTCAATATAAATGTGTAACAAGAATAAAATATTGTGATTCTCAAAAAATAATTAAAAAAAAATACTATTTCCAAAATAATAATTACGTTCACAAAAAATACTCAGATGGGAAAAGTTTGCGGGTTCTTGCAGTGAAGAAGAAATCTATTGGGGTTTTCCATAATATTCACAGAATCATATAAGGATTTATTAACTACGGCGCCTCCTACGATTAAATATATATTAAAACAAAAATATTAAAACCTTTCAAATATATAAAAAAAAAAAAAAACACAATACTTGAATCTCTTTATCGATATCTTGGAATATACTGAATTACAATAATTAATAAGTAGATCTTTGCGGGACATCTGTGACTACTAACCTACGTATATTGTTACTATACACGCACAACACTATATTATGACGGCAACACGTTATTTTACACACACTTTTACATCATAGTAATATTATTATGTACAACATTGAATTGAGTCTCAAACTATTTTTAGTTTAAATTGTAGTAGTATTTTAGTATACATTTTTAATAGGTTTAAATTTAAGTACCTAACAATAACGTTTTTAAAAATTGCAACGTATACAACTATTTAAAGTACAAACAAAAAATAAGTAACTGTGTCAGAAAAAAATTAAAAAAAAAAAGCTGTAGAGAATATTTCCGCCTGGTTATCAAAGATTTTAAATTACGAATACAAAGAAAATGTCTGTCACGACTCACACTACAAGACACGTGAGTTTAATGTTTAATCAAATAAAATATTCACCATCCTCATTTATCAATCCATACAAAAATATCAAAAAGTGCATGTGAAACTTAAAATGTTTTAAAATCTAAGAATATTATATTAAATAATGACGAGCACTTTATTTTCTTAAATAATTTCTGATAACTCTACGTAAAGGCTTTCGACGACAAATTAAACTAGGTCCTATGAGTTATGTGTGATGTTCAAAAAACCTTCGATTCATGGCCAATATTCGTGAGACCTCGATTCAAACAACCCAAAACCATCAGTGGGATTAAATTAAAATGTTCTCAATATTGTGTAAAGGTACTGTTATTTACACACGAGTTAATGTGTGTGTACGCATATTATATTAGGCTGAACAGGTTGGACGCGTTACTTCGAGTGTGAACACCACACGGACGTTGGAGAGCACGCATCGAGAGAACCGACGAAAAAAAAAAAGAAGAAAAAAGGTGTCGGGTTTCTCTCTCGGCCGAGAGAAACACAATCGGTGTTCCCCGTACCACTTGGGAGCTGCAGCAACGCATTACGTTACGGTTTTCGGTCCCCTCTTCCTTCGGTCCCTCTATGTACACAACGACGAGCTCCGTGCGCACCACTCGACCGAACAAAAACGGTCGCCCATCACGTCCACCCGTACACTGCTGCCGCAGCACCGCGAGAGTTGTTGCGCAGAACCCTAAGTGCTTTTCAAATATATGAAATCTGAATTCTGGTAATTATGATTCATAGATAATAATCGTCATAATTTAAAGTTAAACCTATAGACCATAGTATTCGGTACCTACTGTACTACCTATACAATATTTACAAATTATTATTATTTTTTATATCTACAGATTATTTTAGGGTTTTTTTAGAGCGTATTAGCATCATATTTTAAGCTTTTAAGAACCTAAAAATCCACTCTTTAATTATAAACCATCGCGTAGAGATAAAAAACAGTATTTATCCCGTGGACATAACAAATTGCATAATTATGATATTGTAAATATACAATTACAAGTTTTATAAGTCATACAAACTACAGTATTTACAGTATACGTTCATTACCGTCGAGCGGAGGCAGTGCCAGCCCGATGATTTTCGGAGTTCGGTGCTGAACTTTGCGGGGCACCATACATATATTTATTAATTATTTATATAAATCTGTATTTATTTATTTTAATATATAACACCACCGTCTCGCACAGCACACAACACCGCGCGTCGTCAATGGGTGACAGCAGCGGCAGCTGCACCGACCGACACGACCGGTTTTCTTTCTTCGACACAACAATATTATATTTCTTACGCCGCGCGCACAATCTGTTTTCGTGCATCGAAATCACGTACGAGAAACAACGTGCACGCACACGGTGTGCATACAGATTTTTCTTCGGACGACCCTCTCTGTGGCAAACGACCGAGCAACCTCACACATGTGCACCACACCGGTACCCTTATTATTTATCCTTGGGCAGTAATAATATAATACTACTACGTGTAAGGTACCTGTTGTAGGAAACGTCATACGACACCCTTCGTCTTTGTTTTCATAAATGTCACATACCTACGTGTTTCTAAAAAGTCATACGATGCAAAACGGTTACACATTGCATATAAAAAAAAAAAAATACTTCAAAAGTACACACCATTTAAAAACGTAAATAAAGCGATTACGAATAAATATACGGAATATTTTAATTCAATAAAATGATTGAACTAACATGTGCTTATAAGGAAATACGAGAGAAAACCATAGTGCCTTTGTTTTTATTTTATTAAGTAAGTATAGGTAGCAGCCGCGTTAATATCAAAATGTGAATTAATTTAAATATTAAATTAAATATATATGTTAAATAGTATATAAATAAAGTTTAAAATTAAATTTTAGCTTTAGAAAATTTAGAATATCAGCCTATTAAAGTAGAAAGCTAAGAAACTTAAAGAATTTATAAAACATACATTTCATTCTATTTTCAAGGAATATGATTCAATTATAAATACATACAAATGATAAAAAAAATATCATTAAAAAACAGTGTTTATCGAACTTCAATAATAGA